CCCTTCCGACCCTAGAAATTATGAAACTATGAAACTATAAAGGTCCTCAGAATAAGGAAATAATAGCAGGGAAACAAACCAAGGATCAAGCACGATGGGGAGGGATTGGATCAGGGAAGCTGAAGGTATGAACAGAAGCATGTGTAAACCTTAGCACATACTGGAAAGAACACAAGATTCTTGGGGCTTGACTGTCTTTTGCTGTCTCACAAATATCTATTTTGTGAACTTAATGACAATGTTCCCTTCCCATCCTGTTATAGTGACAAATCCACATACACTATAACAGCCCTCTGTTTCTACTAATTGCTTAATTAGTTTATTTGGTAGAAATCTGTGCTGTGTATCTGAATATTAACTTTGTTGATAGATGCTTGCAAGTGGTTAATAGGGTAAAATGTTTTTTCTCCTCAATTTTTTTTAGTTTTTGTAACATGAGAAATGCCTTCTAAAAGATTAAAATGAAAAAAAATGAAGTTCCAAAGTCAAGTACTCAAAATTTAAAAAAAATACTAAAATTAAGGTTGCCCTTATGCATCTATGTTCTGAAGAAAAGACATGTTTAAAAAAAAATCAAGCTGTAGGCATACCATATTGGGCACCAAAAAGTATTTGCCGCTTCTTATATTAATTGCTCTGTCACTCAGTTTCTTGCCTATTATCATGGTGATGATATCGCCTTTTTACAGTGATATTGTGAAGATAATTGTACTAATGTTTGTGGAGTACTCAAATGCTACAGTGATGAGTGCTAGAGAAAAGTCTACAAGGAAACGAATAAATCTCTGTTCAGAGCAGGTTTTAGAGCCTGTGCGGTAAATAAGACATGGACCCACATGCTTAATGATGAAGTTAAAACAAAGTATTGGTTAGCTGCTTAGTCAAGGAGCAGTATTGATCCCTGCACTGAATTAAGGAGCAGTCCTGTAACTGTAACTGTGTGATTGTAATCCATAAACACAAATGGTCAGATTAATTTGCTTGGACAACCTTAATTCTGACACCTCCTAACATATCAGTGCTTGGGCTCACAAGCACTTAATGTTTATAAGTTTTGCTAGTAATGCTGTAGGAATTGGATTATATAGGCGATGGTGATTTTTCAATGCTTTTTCCCCCAAATATTCCCAATTAATATATCCATTCTCTTCCTTTCACTGTAGTTTGGGAGATAGAAAAGTGCATTTTGTGCACAAAGTTTGGAAAATGAAGTTTTAATCATACCCTGAAACAATATAAATGGATTTTCTTTTTTCTTCATTTAATTTTTTTAAATATTTTCTTTTAGATATAGAAGGCATGTCTGCTCAGATTATTATTGATGCCAATGATGGAGTCAAAGGAGTAATTGAATGGCAGAATACCAAGTAAGTCTCATCTTCCATGAAGATCATAATATGTGGGTTGGTTACTAGGATTCCCAGTGGCAAAACTCCCAGTGATGTTGATGAAAGCTCATCAGACCTTTATTATAGTAAAACAGTTTTGAAGAAGGTTCATCTGGCAAGTGTGGAATATCTTTCTAATGCTAGTGAAACATTTTAGGACTAGTGAAGCAGATCCTTCAATGTGCCTGATTTTCGGTTTTACCTTTTATGTTTTATGCTCTTGGCCTCAGCTGGCCCCAGTAACAGAAAAGGGAACCAGTTCCCAAATCCAGATAACAATGAATTTTACCAAATACAGTATAGATACAACCCAAAATCTGATTCTTTGTGGACGCGTCTACACATGCATGGTTACTGTGCAGTAAATATAGTGATTTATGCTGACTTGAGTGTAAATTTGATACCTGCATCATGCAGGAATGAAATTTATGTCCGATTTAATTACTGTGAAGTAACACATGTAGACGCCTTACTGCACAGTAGCACTGTGTGTGTGAACTGATTTAGGACTAACTTTATTCCCAAGTCAGTCCACACACAGCGTTAATGTGCTTTAATGCCTGCACATGTAGATGCTGACCTATTACCGTTTACTGTGCAGTAAATTTAAGCTGATGTAGATGCATGTGTAAACACGCTCTGTGTATAGAAAAGTATGTTGTTTTCTGCTTGAAAGTTTAAGTCCATCCCATTCTGGATGGCTCTGTGCATATATGTTTCCTTATTTATGGCATTTATCTCCTTTCTGCACACACATGAATAAATCTAGGTAAGAGAATACAATTCTCTTCTTCATTCATGCTGTTGCATTGCAGCACATTTCTGTTGTAGTTACAGATCTACTTACATCTTCAAACTTCCTATGCAAGATTTCCTATCATTGGGTACATATAGACTGGACTGATAACCATTTCCCCTTCTCTACTGTTAACTTCTTGGGACATGCCAGAAATGCATGGCCTACATATGGGCACTTTTCATGTGTCTTGTGTGTCATAGAAAGTAGCTATGCTGAACAAAGTGGCCATGTACAAAAATTCAATTGTAGAAAATTTTCTACCCTTAGAAATGATTCTGAGAGAGGAAGGAGTACAGACGTTCAATGTGCAACCACTCCCTCTCCCCAGCTCCTTCTACATTCCTGATCTGAGGAAAGTGTGCACTACTCCAGTTCTTGTATTCCCAGAGGGATTGGAGCAGCAGGGGAAAGTCCCCTGCCTGCTTCCCTCACCAGGGATCATGATATAGAGTGAGAAATAGGGAGCAATTCCAAGTGGCAGAGCTGTATGGCAAAGCCCCTGTCTACTTCTGCCACTGGAAACTCTGCCCTTAATGCATCCACCAGGTTGAGGTGACCCCAGGCTCTGGAGTCCTTTCCCCTGGCTGTACTCCTCCTAGCTCCCAGGGAGAGCTAAGCAGGGGGAAAGCATGAGATGTTCAGTGTCCTCTGAGAAATATTTTGAGAGCAATTTCTACTTTATTGTAGTTATTTTACTTCGGGAGCAGGAGAAAAAGCTTGATTGCCTGCACACTTTTGATTTCTACCAGGAGAACGGTGATTTTCCCAGTAGAAACTGAATGTCTGTATGTAGCCATTGTGTAAAACCTCCATTATGTGCTGAATTCCACTAAATAATATAAGAGTTGTATTGGATATATGATTGATAGCACAAAGAGGTCTGCCTTGTCCGAAAAGCACTGCGTCATCTCATATGTGAATGTAACTATGATCTAATTTGCCATCATGTATCTAAACAATTAGATTATAAAACATTAATAAAGTTGCAAAAGTAATTATCTGGAACTCAGAAAATGCCCAGGCTACCTTAATTCAGACCTTTTGCATATGTATTGTTATATTTTAAGTATTTGAACAAGACTATTTTGATTTTACTATATAGGTGTAAATCTAATGTACATTTTTATAATATATAATTCAGAAGCAGGCACATATTACTTAGTAGAGGTTTGAGCTAACTTGCATATAACAGGTTGCACTCTAACCTTTTTAAGGCAGACATGTTGCCCGTTGCCACCCCCCGTCCCCCACCCCCCGGTCGCAATGTCACCTTTGTAATGATGCAGGCTGAAAATTACAAGCTGGTAATAGGAAGTGGGAGATAAATTATGTTCAATGTTGTTGAATGAACTAAGAATTTTGAGTACCTTTCTGATCACTGGGGGTTCTTTTTTATTTTTATTTTAGTTTTGAAATAGATGAAAACCAAGGGATTCTGACAGTAGTAGCATACCGGGACAGAGGATCATATGGCAATGTATCTTTGTTTTTCTATGCCCAGAATCTGGAGGCCTACCTGGGTTTGGATTATAATGTGTCCTCAAGGGTAAGAAACAAACATCAAGAACAATGCTATTAATTTCCTAAATTTCTTTACTATTTGCAAAGCAGTGTATTTTTCTCAATTGGCTCAATCATGCAAAGTGACAGCCACTGCAACTACAGTGGCTCTCACTTTCGTTTACACAGTTTGTAAACCGAACATAATGCTCTCATAGTGTGGGGGCTATTGTTCTTTAAATATTCTGAATTATGCATGTTTCAAAATATCAGACTTCCATTTTATTTGTAATGTTTGTTTGGAAAATTTATGCAATTCATATTTGGGAACAATATTTCTTAGAAGATTCTTTACCTCAGGGCCTTTTAAAATATGGTTTCAGTAAACAAGGCCTTGTTTAGCCCTCATTCTGCAATGGACTGATGATCTTCATTCCTGTTTTTAGCCAGTTTACATATAGAGACATTCACAGGTTTGACCCTTATTTCCACAGTGCAAATCTGTAGAGCAGACTTGAAAAAG